TGTGTGTGTGTGTGTGTGTGTGTGTGTGTGTGTGTGTGTGTGTGTGTGTTTCATTATTGCCTCTTTTTGGTTTCCCAGGGATCCAAACTCCATAGAAACACTCCAGTCTTTTGGGAAGGCTGTAGACTGGGCCAAATCTGGAAAGTTCACACAGCAGGACATTGACGAAGCCAAGCTTTCCGTGTTCTCTGCTGTGGATTCGCCCGTTGCTCCATCGGATAAAGGTATTTTAAAGAGATCTGTGAAACTGGATTCAGGGTTTCCCCAGGCAGAATTGCAGTCTTTTGAGTCACATGTCTCAGGACTCACATGAGCGAAGTACAGCAGCAACTATGTTTCCGTTTCTCACATCTGTCTGTCCTACATTACGTGAGGGCCTGAACTTTGACCTTCCAAATGGCATGTGGTGGAGTGAGGAGATAGCTGCATTAGTGAGGTTCTGTCACTAAGCAGGAATTTCCAACCTGAGTTGAATCCCTGTAAAAAGCCAGGCATGGTGGTAGGTGCTTATTCATCCCAGCACTAGGAAGTTGAGAACAGGCAGAACGTTGGGGCTTAGGGTCAGTGAGCATACCCTACTTGGTGAACTCCAGGCCAGTGAGGAGGACCTTGTCTCAAAAAGCCAGGTGAGTGGCACTGGATGGCTCAGCAATTAAGGGTGGCAATTACAACTGCGGATCTGAGTGTGGCCCTCAGCACCTGAATCTGGCTGCTAACACCCACCTGTAACTGTAGCTCCAAGGGGATCTGACTGCCAGTTAGGGTGAAGGCAGGCATTCTGACATGTCATTATTTGTGTGGCTTCTGTTTGGGGTACTGTTACCACTGTGTGACCTATACAGACTCTTCATCTATACTCTGAAAAAGGGAGTCTATATTAAGTTCTGTTCGATTGTGCAGAAGTGGAGGTCAAGTTCGATCCCCTCTTGCCCATCAAGTATTTTTGGTTGAAGAGTATACCATAAAGTGACATGAGTGTCCCCACTATGCTTTATGCACAGAGGCCCCTCCCTGTGCAAGCATCTCCCCAAGCCCTACCTGTGCTTTAACTTTTAGGAATGGACCACTTCTTATATGGCCTCTCCAATGAGATGAAGCAGGCATACCGGGAACAGCTCTTTGCTGTCAACCACGACAAACTGACCTCTGTGAGCCATAAGTGAGTATATGGGCCCTGGCTTCCTGTGTCCAGTTGGAGGAAGGGAAACTCAGGAAGGTGAAGGCTTCCTGCTGACCCTTCAAATAGGAAACAGTCTAATGTGCCATCTCCATTGCAGATACCTCGGCATCGGGAAGAGCACACACGGCCTGGCTATACTCGGACCAGAGAACTCAAAAATTGCCAAAGACCCATCGTGGATCATAAAATAATGAGTCTCACATTATTTCTGCATATATGTAAGATATCAGAGGCTCTAAAACACCAAGCTTCTGAGCTAACTTTAATGTGGATGATCAAAAGCATTACTGGTTTCCTTGTTCCAAAAATCATAATTATGTCTTATTAAAAATCTGACAAAAGTGTTGATTGGCAAGTTGTACAAAAGCTCTTAAGGAAATACTGTGACTGTGGAGAAATTTATTAAACTAACCATGCATTAAATGACAAAGGTGAACAAATTAAAATTCTGAAATGTTACCAAGCCTAGAACATTTTTTTTTTTTAAACAGAAGTCAGCTCTGACCTACCTGAACATTAGTCTTTATTATAAAGAGTTTTTTACTACTTTAAAATGAAAATGTTTAGGCCTTCATTTGGAGAAATGGCTCAGCAGCTGAGAGCACTTGCTGCTCCTACAGGAGACCAGGTTTGTGTGCCTAGCATCCGAATAGCAGCTCCCAGCCATCTGTAACTCGTTTCGAGGGTTCCGCGGCCTCTTCTGGCTTCTATGGGCACAGCATGCATTTGGTGCACAGGCATATGTGCAGGTAAAACATTGATCCACATGAAGAGTGAGAATAGTTTCTTTTAGAGTGAGTGCAAGAACAAATGTAGAGGTGCATGTGTGATCACACTGCAGGCCAGGAGAGTGCAGATTTAAGTTGCACAGGGCTGCTCAGTGAGCATCTGCCACCAGAGCTACCTCAAGCCTTTGCCCTGTCTTTCCTGAGGGTGTTCCTTTTACTTTATCCTCAAACACAGCTGACATTTAATCATCTCTTTACTCTGTAAAAATGTTCTCATTTTAGCTGTGTAGATATGAGGACGCCTGTAAGTAGAAATGAGAACACTACAGTAGGCACAAGAAGCATGGATGCTTTGCTCTGCAGATGACTCATCAGTCTGGGGTGTGTATGTTGGGGGCACTATTTCAAGTGACCTCTTCACGAGGGTGGAAACCCAAGTTCCACCCAGCATCCTGACTGCTTTTGAAGGAAAGCTGTCAGATGAGAATATGACTACAGGTTCATACTTTACCGTTTTAAAATTCTACATGTGATCTCATTTTAAAAGACCATAAGCCTATCTTAGAATAGTGATGTACATCTTAATCCTAGTACTTGGGAGGCAGAAAACAGGAAGATGTTTGTGAACTCAAAGCTGGTCTCGTCTACAAAGCAAATTCCAGGCTACCCCAAAATAATTAAAATCACAAACCTGGAGTTAATCTTTTCCGTCTGTATGATTATCAAGGTCAAGGCCAGATAAGCACCATGCTCAGGACCCAGACCAGTGTGCCTGTACATGTGGGCTGGGGGTGAAAGAGAAAGTTAATTTGCCAGCATTCATCAGGCATCACCCACCATGTTTTGTTTTACGAGACAGGTTCTTGCACTGGCTAGTTCACTTAAGCAGGCTAGGGTGACTGGCCAGCACCCCAGGGATCTGCCTGACCCTGCCAGTGTATGTCACTTCACCTTGCTTTTTCAGTGTGAGGACCAAAATCAAATGCTCTGATCAACCATCCCCTTCTTGGGGATCTTCAGGACAGCGGCAAAGGAGCATCATGCTTACTAAATGGCACAGAGCTGGTGTCTATCATAGTGCCTTCTTTCCCTTCTCTTCTGACTTTGTATTTGCACAGCCTCTTTCTACATAACTGCCTCTGGAGTACCGAAGGAGACGTTGCTAACCTCTGTCCACAAAACTGCTGAGGAACCCTTTGGTGGCATGGAAAAATCATCCTGAGGTTGATACAATAAACGAGTACCATGGGAGTTGTAACCAAATGTTTAATTCCACAACATACACACATGGTAGAGCAAAGACAGTAACCCGTACAGTAGAAAACTGACTGGATCAAGCGTGTGAGGCTGGGTGTCATGCCTCGGGGTTCGATGGGTCAGTGCTTATGGCAAGTGGTGCTCTCTGGTTATCACTGCTGACAATACTTGGTCAACAATACTTGCATAAAGTGCTGATAAATAACTATGTTACAAAATGGTCCCTGGGGAACCTTATACGCTTCCCTAGACAAGTGTGTAGGTCAGGTGATGGCATGCTGGATCAGATGTTCGCTGGTTCTCCATGGAAGGGACCCTGTTGGCTCTGCAAAGGCTCCAGCTTGCCTGCATCGGACACGTCATAGCTTGTCTTGTACTTGGCCAAGATCTTCATGAGAGGCCGCAGTTTCAACCACCACTGCTCCTGGGGGATCCGGTGCCTGTCAGGAAGACAAGTCAGCCATCTAGTATTACATTTGTGCTAGCAGACAACTTCCTACTGCTATAGGCCACTAGGAGCTATTTGAATAGCCTCCCCAGAAAGATGGACTGTGTGCTGCGGTCACCTGGATAAATTTCAGGAATGATAAGGCAACTTTCATTTCAAGACAAGGCCTTATTATATAGCTCATGGTGGCTTTTAAACTTGTAATCCTTCAGCTTGTCAAGAGAATGCTAAAATGACAGGCAAACACCACCATACCTTGTGTGTGTGTGTGTGTGTGTGTGTGTGTACATGCTTGTGGGTCAATGGAAATTGAACCTGGGCTAGGTAAGTGCTCTTCCACAAAGCTATGTATGCCCTCAGTCCTTTATATATTTTGTATTTGGAAGCAAATTCTCACCATTTATCCAGTCTGACCTTGGTTTTAGGAGTTCCCTGAACCAGCCTTGTAGTGCTAGGGTTGCAGGCTTGTCCCACCACAGGATTTTTACACAGGTTAGATGAAACTATTACCTGCCCAATGGTGTGCTCGCTTTCCCTTTGTGTGTGTGTGTGTGTGTGTGTGTGTGTTTAACTAGCTTCAGAAAAGCCCGTATGTTGATTACAATAAGTGAATTCTCTAGAGTATCCAGGGTAGCACTGGTGATCTGTCCTCAAAGCTATTTTTCTCATGCCTTCTAGAGATGAGATTTAGGTAAGTATGTCATTGACTTACTCAAAATCAGTTACTTTCTTCAGTTCTGCCACTGGTTGAAACATGAGTTCTCTTTTGTTAATTCCCAGGACACAAATGGAATCATCATTAACAAATTTTTTTCCTATGAAAGTTAAAAAAAAAAAAAAAAACGTAAGAAGTACTCAGAATATTGAATGAACAGATTAAACTTTGTAGAAAGGACAGGACAGTGAATGGACAGAAGCCTTCAGAGACCAAATCTGTGGACTGAGGAAAGACCCACAAGTCCTTGGAGGCCTGAGGAGTGTCAGGTCTGTGCAAAGTCCAATGGGGGTGAGGATTACACCTAAGAAACAGTTGTCCCATCTCTTTAGGGGACCTCTAACTGTGACCAGGGTCCTTCCCAGACTGCCACCACAGCGTCTCCTTAGGCATCCTCAAGGGTGCTCCAGGATGAGGTACAAAGAGGCCTAGTCCGTTCCAGGGCCTTCCTTCTATCACACAAAGAGGAGCCCATTTTACCTGCCATCCACACATAGTATATTACACCTACAGTATAGCAGACACCAGTGGGAAAGGTTCCTGGAAACAAGAATCTTGTATAGTACAGGTCAAGAATTTCACTAAATAGTGTAATAAAATATGCTTAAATTGCAGAAAGATTTCACTTTAATAATTATTGTTCATGAACAAACTGGGAAAGAAAATATATGCAGAAAGAAAGAATACAAGAGCATGAAATGATGTAGAAAAATTATCAAGAGAAAAAAAGTCAGGACTTTGAAAATACTAGAAGTCAGTGGGAACTATTTATATTGACGTTGTGGAGCGCCACTTTTGTAACCGCCATGTGGGACATTGTATAGGTGTATCCTGATGAAAAACACACCTACTCCAACCGATAAAGTAGCCTGAGGTCATGAGAAAGTGCCAAAACGTCTGGCCTGAATAGCCAATATAAAGAGGGAAAGAAATTTAGAAATGCAGGCCTCAAAAGGGAATAGTACAAAAAGTTTGATGCAGCTGTTTTGAAAATGTAAATAATTTTAAACTATGTTAAAGGAAAAAAAAAAGGGTGTAGTTTCATTAAGTGTAAAGGAAATCCATTTAGCAGTCAAGCCTTTACACAGAGGAAACTACAAGTCTTGACAGGTGGTTTCATGGGAAGGGTCTGCCAAACATTGTGAAAGCTAAACTTCCATCTTACACAGACTGTCAGGGACTACCACCCCACTCCCCTTCATTTTTCAAACTTGACCCTGCTGTTTAACAAGGAAAATTACCTGTGGGGAAACAGCTGGCAGATGCTTTCCATCACTGTAACAAATGGCCTGCCCCAAGTCTGGGTGACAGTCATGGGCCGGGTAGACATAAAGGAAACCAGTATGCCTGTGAGTGACCACAGGCCTGCAGACAAACTTAGAGCCTCTGCTGCGCATACGTCTGGGATAGGTGTTAGGTGGGGGTGGGGGATGGGAGGGGAACTAGACCCCAGACACTAGAGCATATTGAGCCAGCAGCTTGGCTACACATGAAGGATTACTTGGTTTTCATGAGCTTTTCTATCTTGTGTGTTCATCAATATGTGAACAAGACCAAAAGTACAAAAGTACAGCAGTCTACCACTGCTCTTCCTTCATACAACCTGGAAAACTGAGCTAAGCTACACCTTTCAAGATGCATTCCCTTGTTAGTGACACTCTAAAAGAAATCAAGGAAATGGTTATAAAATCCCAAGGTTACCTATGGAAGGGAGAAGATAACATGGAAGTCATTATGCCCCGCCCTGTGTAAAGTTGCCTGTGAATCAAAGCACTGGAGCAGTGATAGATACCCTAAGTAAAGGGACCTGAAACATGTTTCGTGACACCACAGAGAGAAATAAAAACTGCATTTTATAGTCTTGCTAATGATGAGCAGTATGTGCCAAGAAATCTTTTGGCTAACAAGAATGCTACCAAACAATTTTTCACTCATTGCTAACCGCAGAAATAAAACATTTGTTTTTTTATTAGTTACGTTTAGTTATAATCTTGGGAAGTCATAAGTGGTATTCAGTACTCAAAGACAAGGAGAGCTAATACGGTGTGCCAGACATCCCACAGGCAGATTTAAGGAAGGAAAAATACCATAGCTTTTATAATACAGGGTTCCCAGTGAGCCAGCAGAGGCATCGCATGCCTCGTCCACTTCCCACTGCTTCCTACCTGTGCCCTGGGACTCTTTCAGTTTATCCGTGATCCATTCCATAGCTCTTGCAGAAATTTTGGTTCCAAAGTTTCTGTCGAATGGAGAAGGCGCTCCACCCTGTGGTGGGCAAGTTATATAAAGTGTAAGTCACACAGCAATTTCTCCTGCTTTTTAGAAGAAACCGATGGAAAATACCATGGTTTAACAAGACCCGTGTGGTATTCCGAACTGCTAATCTGCAACTATGGTTTGGTTTTGTATATCTAGGAGAGGAAGGAAATGGGTCCACAAGTCCGAGAGCCTAACCTCAGCCTGCTACACAACCCTGTACTGTTCTCAACTAAAGGAGTAAGTTACCATTCTCTGTGTCTCAGAGTCTGTCTGTGTCTGTCTTTGTGGTATAGGCATGTGAGTGGATAGATGTGCTCACCCATATATACACATGCAGAAGACAGAGCAACACATCAGGTGTGGACATCATTGGCTTTCCAAACCAACTGCCTTGAGACAAGGTGTCTCATAACCAGAAGCTCCCCTATTTAGGCTAGGCTGCCTGAGCAGTTGGTTTTTAGGATCTGTTTATCTCACACCCCAGTTTTGGGGTTCCAGGAATGGGCAGCCATGCCTGGCTTATTATGATTCCAAATAATGATTCAAATGCTGGTCCTTGTTCTTACAGAGGAAGCGCTATTTACCCACTGAGCCGCCTTTCCAGCCCACTTCAGGGATCAGGGATGAATCACAACTTCTCTGATGAAAGTCTGCAGACTCAAAAAAATGGGAGTCGACATATCCCTACCCATATTAACTTCGGGAATTCATGACCCTTCGGGAACAAGTTAGTGGCTCCCAGTTTGAAAGTTCCCCAAAAAGGGCATCTTGACGCTGCTATTTTACAAGTGGGCTCTAGGGAGCTCTGAGCATGACTGAGGCTCTTCCTCACTGAATGATGTGGGAGAGCAATTGTGGGTGGCTCCTGAGGTCAATCTTGGGCCTCCACACTGACATACCAAAAAAATGTAAAAGGTGCATATATATACATGAGCAACAGACACACTAAAGAGAGAGAGAGAAGCGAGATGGATGAAGATTTAAAAACTGCACACAGGCCAACCAATAAACAATGGGACTAAGCTGACCTCCAGCCTTGCCACATAGGCACTCTCACTTGTCAGAAATGGGAGGGAGGGAGGGAGGGAGGGAGGGAGGGAGGGAGGGAGGAAAGAAAGAAAGAAAGAAAGAAAGAAAGAAAGAAAGAAAGAAAGGAAGGAAAGGAAGAAAGGAAGGAAGGAAGAAAGAAAAAAGAAAGAGAAGGAAGGAAGGAAGGAAGGAAGGAAGGAAGGAAGGAAGGAAGGAA